CTCGCTGTTTCCCCTTCCTGTTTATTCAGTTCTGGACTCCAGCTCACGGGATGGCGCAGCCCTCACGAAGGGCAGGTCTCCCTTCTCCAGTTAACCTCCTTAGAAACACCCTCACAGACATGCCCCGGGCTGTGTCGTCCAGGTGGCTCTAAATCCAGACAAGCTGACAAGATGTAAGCCTCAGGAGTTTATGTGGAGGCTGTAGCACGGTGCCTCGTTAGATCTTCACACCCAATGGGATGTTGTTGCTATTATTCTCATCGTGCAGATCGTGGAAGTGAGATTTAGATTAAATACTCTGCCCCGGGTCGGGAAATGCTGGACTCCAAATGTCTGCTTCACACGGGCCTGGTGACAGATTTAATGACATAAATTTCATAAGCCACCCAGTATGGATCTCATACAAAGAAACATCTGTGCATCTCAGTTCAGACTACTCTATAAGAGATGGAGAGAAATAAAAAAGAAACATGCTGCCTCCAGTGGGAGCCTAGCTTCTGTGCAGAGGGTGTAGGGCTGACACCTGTCAGCCATCACTGTCAGGCTGAGTGGACTGAGAGGATGCTGCCCTCACAAGCTGTGAGCACACCAGACCCTCGCTGGCTCCTGACAAAGCTGAAGCTTCCTACGAACCGGCACAGACTGTGGCTGTAAACACTTCCAAGATGTGCGAGCCCTTATTTTTGAGGTGCAGACACATAAATGGGGTGTCTCATAAAACGTGACAATCTGCTCTGGTGATGGTACTTTTGAAACCTAAATATAAAATCACATCTTCCTCCAAAATGGTGTTGTGATACCAGCTGCTCTGACTGGGAACTGGGGCAGAAGTGGCCACCAAGCCTAGCCTACTAGACAAGCTCTAAGCTGGTGAGAGACCCTCTAAAATGAGGACAGCAATGCAGCAAGAACAGTACTCAATACCCAAGGTTGTCTCCAACCTCCACACGCACATGCCATGAGCAGGCACGCCTGTGCACTCATGTAAGTACTCATAGGCACACGCACGCACGCACACACGCGCACACACACACACACACACACACACACACACACACACACACACACAGAGACAGAGAGAAGAGAGAATTAACACTGATACAGTTGCAGGGTTTGGGGAGAGGTGTATAGGGGCATGAGTTCTAAGGAGATGCCATGTCCACCATTACTGGACTAAAGCTGTTTTAACACCTGTAAGATGGTTATAATTCATATCCAGCATCTAAGGTTTGAGAGGTTTGGAGATGTGGGTGAGAGAAGAGTCCCGCGCAGTGTGAAATCAGGATTGCTATAGTAACAGCTGGCACTAGAGATCATAATGACAGAGCCCTATGATGGTGACATCCAGCTTTGATGGTGGTGAGCCAGGGCAGGGCACCTGCCTACTCAGTGCTCACTGTGATCGGAGAGCTTGGGGGCACCACGCCGGGAGCCGATGTGGGCAACGCTGTTCCCATCAATACCCTAACATTTGCTTTGTCCTTGAGTCTCACACCCTTGTTGACACAGAGGCCATTAGGGACGAAGGACAGCCTTGGAAGTAATGGGCTGAAAGGAAGCAGCAGCTGGACTTCCTTTTGAGATGACAGTGTCAGGATCAATCTCAGGCTGTCACTAATGTCACCAAGGTCTACAGCAGCGTTGGGTTGGGATCAGGAGCCCTGTCACTCTTGAGCCCAGCCTTGGAAACAGCGCCAGGTCCACAGCTCAGATCCCCACACGGCCTCAAAGGCTTTTATTGAGCCCAGGAACCAGTGTCACCAACATCAGTGACACTGCATGGTTCATGCTGTGTGGAAAATGCAATAAACTTTTTCTCCAGGGACAAGGGGAGCCAAGCAACAGCATGGGACCAGGTTGACCCATCAACATTGAGCTTGACTGGAAGTTTGCCCCAGAAGTTGCCGACTTACAGCGCTTCCCTCGGTGGGTGGGTAGGGGGTGCTGGGGGGAGGGGGATGAGCAGCCTTTTGTGTACACAAGCTAGGCTGTGTGCTGCCTGCCTTTAAGGTGGCCTGCTTCAGCTGCTTCATTTATCTATAGGTTAAATGGATAGCAGTAAAAGATTCTGCACATTGCAGTTTGTCTATCAAATGAGACATGGAGAGATCATTGAAAACAGGGCTGAGGTTTCTGATGTAGACTGAAAATATTAGGCCACAAATTGTTAACCAGAAAAGCATGATATCGTACTGTATATTTAATAGTGGCCAATGCTTATGCATGGGAAAAAAAACACATGGGCATGTGTGCACGTACCCCCAAAGTCAGGAAAGAGACACAAAATTTTAATGGTCACCAGGCTCTCTCAACATGGTCTACAGCAACGAAAACCTGTTTACTGTGGCGGGCGGGGACGGGGGGGGGGGGGGGGGGGGGGGGGGGGGGCGGGGACGGGGACGGGGGGGATGGGGGGGACGGGGGACGGGGGGGGGACGGGCGGGGACGGGGGGGGGACGGGGACGGGGGCGGGGACGGGCGGGGACAGGCGGGGACAGGGGGGGGACGGGGGGGGGGGGGACGGGCGGGGACGGGGGACGGGGGGGGGGGTCTTTAATACCCTGCTTGTCTGCATTCCCAGCTTTCTTCATCTACTGTTTGTGTCATTTTTAAACTGGAAAAGGTGAGTTCCAGAACAGACACAGCGCCACCTATACTGTTTTAAAGGGGACAAAACCAAGAACCCCAACAGTAGGGGATTCACACAACACAGAAGTAACCAGCCTGAGGCTTTCACACTGGAACATCCATGATGTCATGAGAAGGTCGACACTGCCCCCTCAACCCCAATGCCTCTCCTTCCTTCTTCTTCTTCTTCTTCTTCTTGAGACAGGGTTTCTCCATGTAGGTTTGGAGCCTGTCCTGAAACTAGCTCTGTAGAACAGGCTGGCCTTGAACTCACAGAGCTCCACCTGCCTCTGCCTCCTGAGTGCTGGGATTAAAGGTGTGTGCCACCACTGCCCAGCCTCCTTTCTTCTTGTAGAAAGGTGAAGGACTGAGTTTTCCAAGCTCCTAATGACTTGGATCCTACAGTAACCTGGCTTTAGATATCTCTAAAACCAAATCTCCAGCAGACAAGCCCAGGATCCCACACCCACTGCCTGCTAGAAGAACTCAATAAGCCACCATGCTTCAGAAACAAACTCCTTTCTGCATGAAACTGTTATAAACATGGGGAATTGTATTTTACTGTGTTTGTTTTCATTTGTTTGAGTCAGGGTCTCACATAGACCAGGCTGGCCTTATGTAGCAAAGGCTGACCCTGTCTTTTGACTCTCTTGCCTCTACCTTCCCCATGTTGGTATTACCATTCTGAGCCACCATGTCTGGTTTTATGCAGTGGTTCGGATTCAACCCAAGGCTTTGTTCAAGTACTTTACAAACTGAGCTATAGCCCTAGCCCTGTTTCTTTCTTTCTTTCTTTTTCTTTTCTTTCTTTTTTTTTTTAAATATTTTTATTTATTTATTATATATAGTAGTCTATCTGCATGTGTGCCTGCATGCCATAAGAGGACACCAGATCTCATTAGGTGGCTGTGAGCCACCATGTGGTTGCTGGGAATTGAACTCAGGACCTCTGGAAGAGCAGTCAGTGCTCTTAACCTCTGAGCCATCTCTCCAGCGCCGGGCTCCCCATCACCACCCCCCATTTGTTTCTTGAGACAAGATCTTACTATGGAGCCCAAGATGGCTTCCAAGTCACAGCAATCTTTCTCTACAAGCCTTCAGATACTAGAACTATTAGGTGCCACCACACCCATCTGGCTTGTTTTCTTTCTATAAAAGTGAAACACAGAACACTATCTATAGCATTGTTGAAAACAGAAAACTCTAATACACACACACACACACAAAAAAAAAACCCTTGGGAAGGAGGTTGTGGTGGCTTGAATAACAATGACCCCCATAGGCCCCCAAGATTTGAATGCTTGGGCATCAGGAAGTGGCACTACTACTTGAGAGGGGTTAGATGTGGCCTTGTTGGAACGAGTGTGTCACTGGGGGTGGGCTTTGGGGTTTCAAAGGTCCAATCCAGTCCTAGTGTCTCTCTCTTCTTGCTGCCTGCAGATCCAGATGTAGAACTCTCAGCTACCATGTCTGCCTGCTTCCCACCATAATGACAATGGACTAAACCTTTGAAACTGTAAGCCAGCCCCAATTAAATGTTTTACTTTATAAGAGTTGCCATGGTGGTGTCTCTTCACATCAATAGAATACTGACTAACACAGAGATGTAAAATAGTAAACAGTAGTGCTGAGATCATGGAGGACTTGACATTTCTATAGTTTTAAAAATCTGAGTAGCTGTTGTTCATATTAGCATATGTGTTACTTCTAATCTTTAGAAACTTAACATTATAAGAAGAATGATTGTCATTGGTTCTTTCCATAGAAATAGGGGTAGAAGTGTATGTGTGTCTCATGCTCTCCTGGTACCAGTGAGGACTCCCCTTGGGGTTGAAATGGGAAGGTTGTCCATTACTTTCATCACTGTGACCAAATACCTGACAAAAAGCACCTATGGGAAGAAGGATTTGCTGGCATAGTGTCCACCGTATGATGGGATCGTGAGGTGTATACTCTTCACATCTCAGTGGACCAGGAAGGGGGATGCCCAGGCTCTTCTGGCTCCCTCCTCTTTTTCCCCTATTCAGCCTGGGACCCACCAGGGATGATGTCACCACACTCAGTTTGGGTCTCCCTTCCTCAGTTAACCCAACCTGGAAACCCCTCAAGGGCACAAGCAGAGGTGTGTCTCCCAGGCGATTCCAAGTCCAGCCAAGTTGGCTATGAAAAGAAGCACTGTTTGCCCAGCCTCTCATCCCCGCTTCTGTGGCTCCTCTCAGTTTCCACTGTGTCTCTTCCTCCTTTCCCTGCTGAACACTGATACCTCTGCCTTCACACTCGTCCCTTGAGAATCAGAAGTGAGAAGTCATGTAAGTGGTAATGATGATGGCCATGGTGCGCACAATGTAACGACGCCGGCAAAGACCTCTGGCCTGGGTTGAGTAATTAGCTGGTTTATTCTGCACCTTGTACCCCTGGATGAAGTGGACTTTTGTCCTTTTCCATCTGGAGCTGTCAAGCAGTGAGATAACTGGATGGATCGGAGCAGCAAACAGAAAAGCATCCTTAGTCACAAGACATGGCTGGCAAGCGCAGCAAGAACACCCAGGTGGCTACAGATCACAACCATCCAGCCACCTTTCTAGGGTGTCCGACAGATGGCAGTTCCTGGACCAGGTGGGCCTGCAGAGGGAAAGCCAGAGAGTGGTCGGCAGTGGCTCCTTGGAGTCAGTGCTTGGGGTTCCCAGAGCCACACAGTTCATACCGGCCTGGCCCTGGGACATCTGTGTCTCCCCAGTGTGGACACATTTCCTCGGGCTTCTGTGCTTCTTAGTATTTACCCTGGTGTGGATACAGGTGCTTCCTCCATGGTGTGCCCACACTGCCCCTGCCTCACACAGGAACCCCACCCAGCTGAGGCACCACAGCCATGTGAACTATTAGTCACTCCTCTCAGAGAGCTTCAGGATTCTTTGACTAGCCCAGGGTCCAGGTGTGTCCTCAGCCTTGGGCTCCTTCCACCTGTCTGTGTTCCTACTTCATTCCATAGCATCTGAAGCTTCTTCCCCTCTTCACTTTCCCTGGGGCATCTGACTGATCCTTTAACCTTCCCTCCCGATGTCCCCAGTGGTCTTTCCCCTAGTTCCAGTCCCTAATGTCCACACCTGGACCCAAGACCCTAACCCCATCTACAGTCCTGCTCCTCAGCCTTGCAGGGCTCTGCTCATCTTCAGGATGGGGACCCATAGTAGTCCCTAAGTGGTCCCTGGCCCCTTGTAGCTGTGGCATAGCAGAAAATACACACATCCACATTCTCAGAAGTCCCAAGGCTCTTCCAAGCCCAGGGGCAGATGGTGGGGAAGGGGTTCCCCAGGACTGGAGGATCTTCTCTCCTTTCTTGTTCACACAGCACAGGAAGGTGACTCTGTCTGAGCTGTGGCAGATCCATGGCTGCATGTCAGCTTACACAGAGCCTGCCTTACCAGGAGTCTGCACAATAAGGCACCTCAGCCAGCACGGCCCAGCTTACTGCTCCGTAGTGCCACACAATAAAGATGACTTCTGCTCATTAGTGTTTATCCCAGAGACTCAGCCAAGCTCACCAAGTAATGAGAAAGCCCCAGATGTCATTAACAAGGAGATTTCCGCCATCGGCTGCAATCCGCTCTGTTAGCAGTGAAACTGCACAAATGGACTCATGATGTTGCCCACAATGAGTAGACTTGGCAGAAATTAAAGATCCATAGCACCTACCTCACTGTCATACCAAATCAATTACAAAGGAATCCCAATTTTAAGTATAAAAGGATAAAATCATAAAAATTCTATTTTTCTTTTTAATTTAGCAAAATTATCTAGGGTTTACTTGGCGTCAGCAGTGTTCTGATACTGAGAAAACGCGAATGGAGTTCTTTTCAAGCCTCGAGTATAAAATACCTTAAATTCATGTGCACTTGTATTTTCATGAGTGTGCTGACGTACATATGTGTGGAGGTGCATGTATGTGTGTGTGTGTGTATGTACATGGAGGTCAGAGGATAATATCAGGTGTTGTTCCTCAGGCATGGCCCACCTTGTGTTTTGAGATGAGTCTCCCATTGATCTGGAGCTGGCTGCAGTGAGGCCCAGGGACCCACCCATCTCCACCTCCCCAGTGCTGGGATCACAACGGATGCATGTCACCACACTTAACACTTTTTAAAACACAGGTTCTGAGGGTCAAACTTGGGTCCTCATGCTTTCAAGGTGAGTACTTTACCAACTGAGCCTCCTCCTCGGTTCTTAAAGACGTTTCTAAGAAGGGGGTTTCACGTAGACCCACAAGCCGCAAGAGAGAAGACAGAGGGATTTGATTCTAAGAAACAGTTAGGTGTCGTCTACGATGAAGACGCCATCAACAGAGTCAAAGCACAAATGACTAACCCAAGACAACAAGCCACACAGATGCGATTCCTGACCGACCAGCCCTGGGTTATAAAGGACACACTCAAAATGAGTAAGGAGGTGCCAGAGAGATGGCTCAGTAGTTAAAAGCAACCAGAGACAGTTCCCAACTGCCCGTAACTCCAGCTCCAGGGAATGCAGTGCCCTCTTCTACGCTCTACAGGCACATGCATGCACACGTGCGCACACACACACACACACACACACACCACACACACACACACACACACGGACCACACCACACACCCAGCACACACATACACCCCCCCCCCCCCCCACACACACACACACACACACGGACCACACCACACACCCAGCACACACATACACCACACACACACCGCATACACACACACACACACCACATACACACACCACACACCCACACATACACCATACACACTACACACACCACATACACACACACCACATACACACACACACACACACACACACACACACACACGGACCACACCACACACACAGCACACACATACACCACACACACACCGCATACACACACACACACACACACACACACACACACACCACATACACACACACCACATACACACACACACACACACACACACACACACACACGGACCACACCACACACACAGCACACACACACGGACCACACCCACACACACAGCACACACGGACCACACCACACACACAGCACACACATACACCCACACACACACCGCATACACACACACACACACACACACACACACACACACACACACACACGGACCACACCACACACCCAGCACACACATACACCCCACACACACACACACACACACGGACCACACCACACACCCAGCACACACATACACCACACACACACCGCATACACACACACACACACCACATACACACACCACACACCCACACATACACCATACACACTACACACACCACATACACACACACCACATACACACACACACACACACACACACACCACACACGGACCACACCACACACACAGCACACACATACACCACACACACACCGCATACACACACACACACACACACACACACACACACACCACATACACACACACCACATACACACACACACACACACACACACACACACACACACGGACCACACCACACACACAGCACACACACACGGACCACACCACACACACAGCACACACGGACCACACCCACACACACAGCACACACATACACCACACACACACCGCATACACACACACACACACACACACACACACACACACACACCATACACACTACACACACACCACACACACCATACACACTACACACACCACATACACACACACACATACACCATACACACTACACACACACCACATACACACACACCACACACACACACACACACACACACACCCCACATATACACACACACACGGACCACACCACACACATACACACACACACCACACACACATCATACACACACACACCACACACCACACCACACATACCACACACACACACACACACACACACACACACACACACACAGACCACACCACACACATACCACACACATACACCACAAACACCACACAGAGTTATTAATGGGAGCCATGGTGGTGAATACTCATTGTCACCTTCTCTTAAACTCACCTAAAGCACACACCTCCGCGTGTCTCTATGACAGGGCTTCCCGGGAGGGTCCACTGAGCAGGGCCCTGAATGTGGGCAGCACCACCCCATGGACTAAGGGCCCTGGGTTGACCAAATGGGAAACAAAACTGAGAACAGCATTCCTCTCATTACTTCCTGACTGTGGCTGCCACGGGCCTGGCCAGCTCACAGTCCTGCCTCCGTGACTGCTCTGCCCTGAGGCTGCACCCCTTCCTGCCTTCAGCTGCTTCCGTTGGGATTCGGTCCCAGCCGGCACCGGCTGCAGCGGGCACGCCACTTACCATGCCCCCATTCCTTGCTTTCCTTTCACAATTTTCTTGACACATTCAATTGTATCCTTTAAGTTTGGATTCAGTAAAGCTGCAAAGGAAGTGGAACGGAATGAGGCTGTGCCTTTTGAGGACGCCAGCGTGTCTTTCCACCACATGCCTCACTTGCCATTGCTCGCCGCCACAGCCGGCCATTCAAGACAGGTCAAAGGCAGGGGGCACAGATGAGTGAGCAGTGGCCCAGGGCCTGTGGCTTCCAAGCTGGGACTTTAGAAGACAGAATGGAGAGGTGCAGAGGCTTCTGAGCCTCCTGGTGCAGCCTGGGAGAAGAGTGATGTGTGGGTGGGTGATGTAGGTCCCCCCAGAAGCTGGAGACCCTGGACCACTCCTCACTAATCAGGGCAGAGGGAAATGCTGTCTTTAATGAAGCCTGGGGACACTGGGGCTAACACTTAGACCCTGTGCTGCAGAGACACCTCAGGTATTGGGGAGACCTCACCTGACTTAGGAGCCACTTCATTTGTGTCTGCCCCTAGTTCCACTCACCAGTCATGTGGCCTGGGTGTAGACTCACTGTTTCTGGGTCCCAGTTTCCCATTTATAAAACAGAAATAGAAACAATGCCTACTCCTGAGAGGCCACTGTGAGCATTAAACAAACTGATACCCGCAAAGGGCCCAGGGAAGTTCCTAGTAAAGCCCCTAGAAACTCACAGAACACAGTAGTGGCTCCTGGCCAGCCGCTTCCTTGTGGCCGCAGGTTCTTAGGTCCCTTTAAAAGGGGCAGATATATTCCCTTTGTGCTGGCCAGTCCTGTCTCTTCCCTACAACCACTTCTGACTGTCATGGTGACAGAATGGATCCCCTTACGGAAATAGTGGTGAAGCATGGGTGACATAGGACCAGAAAGAGCAATCTTTCCTGCTCAAGCTGCCTGGGCTCTGCTCCCTGCCCCTGCTCCCAACATCCCAGCATCCCAGCACCCTCTGGGCCCACTTGGCCTTGGTTCCTATCCTTGTTCCTTCTCAGGCTAGCATGTCCTTTCCCAACAGCCACCTCTCAGGGACCCTACCTCCCAGGGACAAACTTTAGACACAGCCCAGGCCAGTTCCCTCCTCCTGTCTTCTCCAAATGTGTAGGCTCTGCAGCCTCCAGTGCCCCGAGGGCTGGGAAGGAAGGGACCCACCAGTGCAGGACACTCTGCAGAGGTTCTTTCCGTGGTCACACCACTCATTGTCTCGGATCTGAAAGAGGCCATAGCCAGTGTAGCCACATTGTGAGTTCTCGTAGACAGCCGAGGGGTTGAACTTGCTCTCGAAATAAGCCAGGCACACCCCTAAGAGGTGAAACAGCATAAGATGTGAGAAGATACTGGGTGTGGCAGGGTAGGGAATGGAGGTCAGGAGGTGAGGAGAGAGGGGCTACGGGTCCTACTCACAGTTTTCAAGGCTGTAACCCTCAAAGTAATCCAAGCCTCCATCATGGAGCCTCTTGGCCACTACACAGCGCCCCAAGATGGAAGCACCAATCCGAGTCAGGAAGGAGCCGATGAGCAGAAGCACGAGGTGTGCCTGCATCTTCTCCATACTCTGGTGGCTCCGGGCTGGGGATGCCAGCTGAATCCAAGGTCACAGGGACACTGCACTTCCCAGGAGAAAGAGTGGCACTAAAGAAGGGGGCATTCGGAGTGTCCAGAAAGACGGCATCGCCTGCCTGCCCGTGATAGAGGGCCCTACCTCGATTCTCTGCTCATGCTCCTGCAAACATGGGCGCCTGAGGCCCATCTCACCCAGACCTCCCATTTGCTGAGGAAACTACACTCTGGAAATCTTCTGCCTCCCAGAAAGACCCAGTGCCGTCCTGGATTCTAGCTCTGCCATTTGGTTCCATCAATAGACATGGACGCTCGAGTCCTTTCCTCTCCCTCTACTGAGTAGAGTCTATTGTGAAAGCCAAACTTGTTATGGACATTTTGGGAAGGAGGAGGAGGGAATGAGGAGGAGGGGCTGAGGGGAGGGGAGGAGGGGCTGAGGGGGAGGAGATGAGGAGGAGGGGGTTAGGGGAGAGGATGAGGAGGAGGGACTGAGGGGAGGGGATGAAGGAGAGAGGCTGAGGGGAGGGATGAGGAGGAAGAAGAGAAAAGGAGGAAAGGGGGAAGAGAAAGAGGATGAAGAAGAGGAAAAAGAGAAGGACAAGCAAAAGAAAAGGAGGGTAGAAGAGGGCAAGGAGGAGGGAGAGGAGGGAGAGGAGGCGGGAGAGGAGCACAACTCACTGTATGTACAGCATTGAGCACCACCTGTCCGCCATGTTGAATTAGTTCCATTGCTGCCTTTTAGCCTACAACATGTCCCATCTGCCTTACGCTTTTACAACCATCTTAGGTTTTCTGTCTACAACCTCACTGACCTTTTCCCTGGCTGTCCACACAGGAAACAGTCCCAGAAGACAAGCCACTGACCTCACAGTGCCTCTGCCTCCTAGTCTGTAATGGTGGGTGGTCACTCGGATGACTGACTCTTGATCTCACCTTCTCCACCTCTGCAGCAACCATCTAAACCTTTCACCTGCTCAGGTCCATGCTGCCACCTTCAAGTACAACTGAGCAATAGCCCCAAAACATGTACAAATGTCACCTTGAGATGCCGCTGGCTCTCCATCCCTTGCCACACTAAGCTCTCTAGAACCTTTACCCTGCTGAGCTTCATCAAGAGGAAGCAACTCAGCCCTTGAGAACTCACAGTGCACCCTGCCCGGGCCTGTCTGTAAGTGCCACGCCCCTCCTGCCATGTCCCACTAGAGTCTCACCTTGGTGCCCTTGGACACGGGCCTTCCCCATCCACAGGGCTCTCTACACCACCCCCACCCACATGCTGCTCTCCATCTTCTGTTCTCCACCCTGGTAACTACCTGAAGGCTGGTTGGTCCTCCTGCGGTCTCCCTTCCCCAGCCCAGCTCTCGCTGTTCACAGTCCCTTCCTTGACCCTTAAAGAGTGAGAATCCTGTTTTTGGTTTTTATTCCATGTCTCAAAACAGAAGGTACAACTGGAAAGTGGGACCTAGCCTCTTCCCAGTGTCCCCACACTCTGTCACTACCGACCCGTGAACAGTCACCCTCACACTGCTGTGTGTCACCATTCACAGGTGTAAGTACATTCTCCAGGTGACATTCTCCAACACTAGGGGCTCACAGCCATGGCTTGGGCTAGAAAGTCCTTTGAGGATTGGAGTCCTGGCACACCTGGGGGGTGGTTTAGGTGTGAACTGTTCCCCTTGGGCTCGTGTGTTTAAACTCTTGGCCCCCAGGTGGTGACACTATCTCTGGAGGGTTGCAGAGCCTTTCAGAGGTGACACCAGCCCACTTCCCAGCTGTTCTCTGCTTCCTGGCTGCAGACACAATGTGACACGTCACCTTGTGGTTTTATGAATGCGAGGAGTCATCTCACGCTCTTGTGACCATGCCTTCCCCACCATGATGGTCCGTACCCTCAAACCAGAGCCACACAGAAATTGTTCCATTCTTGTGTTACCAGGTATTTGGTTCTGATGGGTGACATTGCTCTGTATGCTGTGAATGTGTTGCTCTCATTGGTTGATAAATAAAATGCTGACTGACCAGTAGCCAGACAGGAAGTATAGGTGGGATAGGCAGACAAGGAGAATTCTGGGAAGGTAAAACAGAACTGAGGAGGAGACACCAGCCTGCCGTCCAGGGAGCAGCATGTAATGGCACACAGGTAAAGCCATGGAACACGTGGTGACATATAGATTAACAGAAATGGGCTGAGTTTAAGTATAAGAGCTAGTCAGTAGTTAGCCTGAGCTAATGGCCAAGCAGTTTTAATTAATATAAGCTTCTGAGTGATTATTTTATAAGCAGCTGCGGGGTCCATGGGGCTGGGCAGGACCGGAGAAAACTTCAGTTACGTGGCTCCCTCTGTAACAAGCAACATACCCTCTGGAAAACAAAATTGCTCTCTGTCATGAACTAATAGCTCAGATGAAACCTTTAATAGGGGCGAAGGTGGCAAACATCTGTTTAATCCAGCTGTGAGGTTAGTTGTATACTTGACCACTGTCCCAGAAGAGGTGGTATCAGGGATGCCAATTGCAAAGTCAGCCTTGGTACTTAGATAGCCTGGGCCCCGGTCACTGCTTTACTCCTTGGGAGCTGTGATGTCAGAGACCCCAGCAGTGACCTTAGCCAAACTGCTCAACTTCTCTGTGCTTGTCTCCTTGCCTGTCACATAGAGGAAAACACTCCTGGCCTAACTGTGCTGAGCAAATGAGTTCAATACAGCAACTCTCATGCTCTGGAGACAGCCTTGTTCTGCATTCTGATTGCATGCCCCGGGTCCTCATTAATAAATGAATTTCTATGCATGTGGAGAAAGCCCGTGTTGACATTTTCCAGTTGAGCAAACAGTATTTCAGGAAACGTCTGCCTTTCCCAGGCCAGGTCCCACTGCAGCTGCTGAAAAGCAGACTCTCACTTCCCTCCCTCCAGCAGGAACATGGATGCTGTTCTAAAGCCCACCCACCCTTCACCTGCCTGTCTGCCCCCATCCTTGCCCAGGTCACCAACATCTCTAACTAATTATGGGTTTCCAACACCCCCCCCCCCACACACACACACACGCACACATGATTTGCTCAGTTCCCCTGATCTGGTTCCTGAGCAACTCTGCAGTCTGACCCCAAGTCACTCCTGGCTCTTCCTTCACCTCTTCTTCCACAGGCTCCCTGCACACTTTCCCTTGACCACACCACTCCCACATGACCACACCAACCACTCCTACCACATGTCCGTTGCACCAGCTGCTCCTTCTGCCTAGAACACGACTCCTCCAACCACCATGGTTTTAGCCCTGGTTACCGACCCATCAGGGAAGGTGGTTTGGGTTGTCTTTGTGATACACCCTGACAGAAATCCCAGTGTAAATTTGTTCTCTTGCTATGACTTCGCTCTCAGACTAGGATATGAGCAGTGGGAGTGCTGTCTCCTCCCCACAGGCTAGTGCCTGGTGCATGGCTGATTCTCAATGATCCCGTTTAAAGAATGAGCGAAACTGCCCTTCCGAAATTTGTCTCCAGATGATCAAGAAGGGACTTTGCTGACAAGTGTGCTCTGCAACTGGGCGACCTGGGCCTGTCTCTGTGCCTCCCCACCAAGGCCCACCTACCAGCCCACCAGGGTGCCCAAGGGCTCGGCAGCCGCCTCCACGTTGCTTGCAGGCTGGGTGCTCTGCCTGCCCTGGGTCCACTGGGCTTTCTCGGGTGCCAATTACTTAGTAACTCTTTTGTCTTCACACAAGAGTTTCTACACCGTCGATCCCGCTCCATGAGCAACTCTTCTAGAACCTTCTCTATGACATCTGCGAACCAGAATGTTCTGAAAAGGGAAGGAATCCGTCTCCATTGAAATGGTGTTGTTAGCTTTCTGCCACTGCTGCCTGATGTGGGCCTCGGAAGACTCAGAACAGGGTGCTGGCAGGGCCAGGCTCCTTCTGGAGACAGTAAAGGTGGTGTCGTGAGAATATGGTTCTTACAAGTTGAGGGTTGTTGGCGGAAGGCCACCCTAACTGCTGAGGGCTGCCTGCACCTCTCACTCTGGTCATCAGAGCCATCAAGGGTGAGTCCATATGCTCTCCCACCGTGATCTTATGCTATCTTCTTTCCTCAGGTCACCTCCTTCTCTTCTACCGTTCTGAAGACTTTTGCCACTAGACTGGTCCACCCAGACTTCAGGGGCATCCCCTCCTCTCAAGGCCCTCGGCCTTCATCATATCTGAAATCCCCTTTGCTAGTAACATATTTTGATGTCCCAAAGCTAAGGACACATTTGCCAGGACAGTACTCTGCCAACCATGACATTCCCATAGGCAGAAGACGACAGAAGAGCCTTCAGTCAGTGTCTGCTCACAAGGCCCAGGATCAAGGAGGCTCTCTCTTGGGACCTTGGCAACTTAATTTGAGACATGAAAAAGTGCTGGGATTATTGTTAGGTTTCAAAAGATAAACCACCTCACGGTGAGGGAGGGAGAGCTGGTCTCTTGGAAACATGGAGTGTTCTGGATAGCTCAGTCAAACTGGTAACTGCACAATTGATTTAAAATGAGAAAGTGGAGCCAGCCAGCCGCAAACACTCCTGCTTAGACCCGTAAGTGCATCGGGAACTCTCAGCACTGGTCTTTCTTCAGGTATCATCAATCACAGTGCTATATGAGTGTGCGTGTGTGTGTGTGTGTGTGTGTGTGTGTGTGTGTGTACACTGTATACTACATTGTGTCTCACTTGGAGTTTCTATTGCTGTGAAGTGAAGCAATGATGTAAAAACAAGCAAAACAACCTCTCCTGACCCTCCCTTCTGAGCCTTCAAGATGTTTAAATCTTACTCTACATTCACTCCTTTGGCAAAATACTTTTTGATAAGTTGCATTTTTCAAGTTTCTCAAAGTACTTAACTTACTTGTATTGTTACCTTAAGCTAGGGTGACCGACTTGTGTCCAGTGTGGATAGTCCCACCTGCCCCAGCCTTATAATCACCTCAGCTGGCACGTCAGCACTGAGGGGCTGTCTGGCTGCCATTAACCCCACAGCCAAGGTGAAGGAGCATCCATTGCTGCTCATGCCAGAGAGCATCGTGCAACTTGACGAACTTCTAAATAGCGTTTGAGGATCATCTTGAGTCAGCACACCCTAAAGCCTCTAGGCAGGAGACCATGTCTCTTCAGGGGAGAGCAGAGGTGTCCTAGCTGTCCTGGTTTCTAGAACCTCTGCCTTCCCTATACCCCATTGCTGTTTGTGCAGACTTCTTATTCATCTGTGGAAACACCTACTTGGGTGAGGACAGAGAGGTCACTGGGACATCCTGGGAAGCATGGCCCATGCTACCATTATTGCTACTGGTTGAGGGCAAGGACTGACAGTCCCAGCGCAGGAGCTAAATACAGCCAGCTGTTATTGTAACAGTTCTTTTGGAAGGAAGCATGTCCAATCATTTACATATTGTCTAATGGCCGCTTTGGGCTGCATTGGCAGAACTGAGGTTGAGTTAAAAAGGCCTTTGAAATTTGGAGTGTGTATTACTCAAAGTAATATGCTACCCCCTGGAGCATGGATTTGACTGGACCAACTTGGTTTTGCATTTGCCACTAACTGGCTGTGTGGCCTCGGGGCAGCTAGTCTTCCTCTGTGTGCTTCCGTTTCTCCATAGAGACAGCGTGCACACAGCTCAGAGCCTGCACCAGGAATGGATGTGCATAGCAAGCCTCGGAAGATGGGTAGAAACAGCACCAGCAAGATGGGGACACAGTTGACCTGACACCGTCTCCGTCCGCTGCCCACCAGTGCCACGGTGTCTAAGTGCCAGTGGAAGGGACTGATGGCTCCATGTCCTCTGAAGAAGCAAGTAGCACGCACACCCTGGTCCTCGGCCCTAGGTTCCTGATCAGCAGGTGTCTGGTGCCAGGACACTGCTCCCGAGCAGGCCTCTTGATGCACTCCTTCCTCGTAAGCAGGAGGAAGATGGAGGGAGAAGGCTACGTATGACGACTCCAGCTTCAGGAGAAGCAGTGCAGGCCTTGACAACCTGCAGCAGAAGGGAGCAGTGAGGTCATCCTGGGCCTTGGAAGCAAAGCCATCCTTCAAGATGAGTGCCCCCTTTGTGGTGTGGTTGACTCTAAAGTCAGTAAGCCTTCAGCTAAAATTGCTTCTGGTGAATCAATCCCACAGGAGGGAAATAGCAAAGGGTTGAGGAAATGGGGCGGGCACATGGTTCAGTTGGCAATTTGCCAAGCTCGCATGGGATAGGACGGTTAGCAGTTGAGTTCCTCTTTGACTACATAAAGAGAGAAACAGAAGTGACCAAATCTATATGTGATGACTTGATATCCAACCTGAGGTTCAGCAAGTTAAATCTAGAAAATATCACCTGCTGGCTCCATGAGACAAAAATCCCATTTGTGTGGAGGCCATTCTGATTCAGGTTGGGTCACTTAGAATCAGAAAATGAGTTGGTGCAGCTTCCTTCCCTCTAGGTTTGCCAAGAGCAACAAAGGAAAAACTATCCTCACCAAGGTATGAAGTGTGGTGTCCAGGTGGTGGGACAGAGCCTAACACTGTGCAACCCTAATGAGCATACAGCATCTCCAGGGTCATTCTTAGACCCCCCCCCCAGAAATATTTAACCTAAGTGAACATGAAGACACACACACTGAATGTAAATGTCCTGAAAAACAGAAGATTCAGAATCAGGAAGAGTGGAGGGGCCTGGAGACCACATGTCACTGGTAAGACTAAAGCTTCGCAATAGCTAAGGGCAATTTGTAATCTCTGGCTGGGTTCTGGAATCTAAAAAAAAGAAAAATAGCTGTAGGGCCTGAGGAGATGGTAAAGTGCCTGCCACACAAGCTTGAGGACCTGAGTTCAATCCCCAGCACCATTGTGAGAACCAGGCACCCATCTGTAACCCCAGCACCGAGCACAGGGCAGCGTCAGCTCACACAGATGGATCCTTAGAGCTTATTGGCTGGCCAGCCTAGCCAATCAGTGAGCTCTAGATTCAGTGAGAGACCCCAGCTCAAAAAAAAAAAAAGCCAAGATGGAATGCCAACCACCACCTCCACATGTGTGCACATACAAGCACACACACATTCATAAACAAAAGAAAATAGAAGAGTTATAAAGGAAATGTGTGGGACTTCAACTAAGGGCCTGGGTGGCATTTGTTGGGAAGGTTCTGTCCTTGCTCTTGATAGCCCAGTCCAAGTATTTTGGAGCAAAATGCTACAACACCTATAGTCGGCTTTCCGAGGGTCTGTCTACTGGGGTGGGGGTGGGGGACCAAAGCAGGAGTGTTAAGGCTCAAGGCCTTTGGAGAAGTCAAGGACCTGGAAACTAAACCTGGTTGCTGTCTAAGCTGGGGACAAGGACCCAGCTCCAAACCCCCGAGTCACAGTTGTTCTTACTGAGTAGAGGTCCTTCAGTGTGCCCCGGCACTGGGCACTCACCAGCCCTCTTCAGAACCTTCACTGACAGATGGCCTGTATTGCTGAACAGACATCCTCAGGAACCACAATCAATAATTATATTTGTATCTGCACTGATATCAGCATCCATATCTGTACAGTATCCACACAAGCCTAGAAAATGTCCAGGTAGCCAATCCCACTCTGAGATAGAAGAGCACGCTGAAAACATTCTTCTTTACCTATTTGCAAAGTCATTTCATTCTGTGACACTTTCAGTCAAGGCCATCCCGTGTGGCACCCTTCACTGGCAGCTCACATTGCTTCTTTTCCCAGTGGCCCATGGAGCCATGCTGGAGCTGAAGGAAGCTGGGCAGTGAGTGCATTCAGGCCAGCACATTCACACGTGTGTAAGACTGTGACAAGCCCAAAACCAGAACTGAGTTCCGAATCCCAAAGAAAGAGGGTTGGGCGTGCAGCTAAAACATCTTAGATGAGTCCCAATGTTGTGTGGGACAGAGATCATGCCAAAGAAGGTGGCCCCTGCCCTTAGCTGGTGTCCAGACCAGCTCTGACAGGAGGATGGAGGAGGATTCTGACGGGCATCCTCATGAGAGAGACAAAGGAGGGGTCCCTTTTTAAGCCAATTTGCTTCTTCCTTAAGCCCAGCTACGTGAAGTATGGTGTTTTTAGTGCTGATGGCAGGGTGGCAGTGGACCAGAGGACAGCATCAGCACCATCCAGAGCCTGACATCAATGCCCCACATCAATGCCCCCACAGGACAATGTCAGCAGCCACCACCTCCAGACTAAGCCACACGAGCCCCATTTAGTCCCGTATTGTCTCTCAATGCTGCAAGCTCCCAACTGCTCTGAGGGATTTGTGTGGCTACCACGCATTCCTTTTCAAATCTAAATGTTCCTAGCGGTGGTGCTGCTTCTGAGCTTAAAATATCGAGCTGGCTTCGATATAGCTGTCAGGAGGACAGCTCTGCTCCTGAGCACTCACTGAGGGTTGTCTGAAGGGAAGTATGTTCGCAGCCTGAAGAAAGGCCACTAAAGGCGGAGGGAGGTGGACACGCTCTTTTATGAACACTCTTCTCGCTACCCCTGTGAGGACAAAGCTTCCCTCAGCTACCCACAATGCAGTGCAAAGATGGAAAAAGACCTCAGGCTGTGCCAGGAGAAATACTGCACAGGGAGCAGGCAGAAGACCTGTCACGACTTGGCATGGTGGGAGGTGGAATGCCATTCTGATCCCCGGAGCCTTATGAGCCCACATCACAAAAGAGATGGAAAAAAACGCAGGGCCACCTCACCCAGACAGCCCTCCAAGGTGCATCGAAAGGGACATTGGAAGGCATGAGGCCTCAGGTCGCAGGGTTTCAGGAAGACAGGACACGCCTCCAAAAAGGAGTCATGGATCCACAGGAGATACACTTGAGGTGAAGCCCCACCTCCACTCCTGCACCCCTATCATGGAAGAGATAAGCAGCAGGCAGGGGTTTTACTGGGCCCTAAAACAGAAGATGATGTGTGAGTGAATAAATGAACTGACTCTGAGTGATGGCTTGACTTTACCCGAAGGGTCTATTCTAACACAATCTTCCAGTGACTAAAGTGTCAATTCAGTTAATTGACCAATCCATCAATTCACTACCTCCCACGGTGACACCCCACAACAGGAAAGAAACAGAGGGCCACAAGGCCATGAGTCAAAAAAAAATCACATTTAGGCCTGAGAAGATGACTGAGTCAGTCACATCATGACTGAGTCACTTACGTTATAAACATGGGGATGGGAGTTTGAGTGAAAAGGAAGCCAGGACACACCTGTAGTTCCAACTCCACAAGCTGGGAGACAGCAGTCTTCTGGGAGCTTGTGAGCTGACTAAACTGGCTTACATGGTGAAGTCCAGGCCGGTGAGAGACCCTGTTTCAAAGAAGAGGTGGAAGGTGCCTGAGGACCAACAGATTGTCTTCTGACCTCAACATGTGTGCCATACATGCAAGCACTCGTACCCCCACCTCTCTCTCTGTCTCTCTCTGTCTCTCTCTGTCTCTCTCTCTGTGTCTCTCTCTCTTTCTCTCTCTCTCTCTCTCTCTCTCTCTCTCTCTCTCTCTCTCTCTCTCTCTCTCACACACACACACACACACACACACACACACACACACACACACACCAGAGTGAACAGTGATTTGTGTGCACACAGAATTCTAAGCAACTCTGGACTAGCCTTTGCATCCTACAGATGAGGAAAACAAGAAAATGCCAAGCAGGTTTTGTGCCCAATTAAAATCCACAGTTCAGGTTGAAGGGGAAATGAGAGGTGACTGTTTACCGTGTGGATCAGGGATAACCTCATCTCCCAGCACACGCAAAGGGCAAGGGCATAGGTCTTCTCATGTTTCAACTTCAATGCGACTCTGATAGTGGATGCTCAGGAAGTCGGGGATTCTGCCACCTGTGTTTGCCCACCGGTCACTGTATCAGCCAGACTGACGTTATCTGGTGTCAACAATGCCCACACTGAGCCCTGGCAGGGGATTAGCAGGAGCAAATCAGCCTGTGTGAGGCCTCAGAGTCACTGAGAGGAAGCAGCTCCCCAAGGGCCTTTCCTTGCCTGTGAGGAGCAGCTTGCCGGTGTGGACAAACTGGGGCTGTTCATAGGTGAGAGCAGAAGCTGGCTCCCCAGCCAGGTGTGAGTCAGCCCTTTGTGGTCAAATCAAGATGCCATGGGACACAGAGCGATGCTTATTCCACACTGAATTCTGGAGACCCTTGAGAATCAGCACTAATACAACCCAAGTGTGGTAGTACATGCCCATACACAAGCCCAGTGCTCAGCAGGTAGAGGCAGGAAGATCAGGTGTTCACAGTCACCCTCAGCTACATAGTAAGTTCAAGGCCAGTCTGGGCTAGATACCGTGTACCCTGAACCCCCCTCCAAAAAGAAGGGGGCATTTAAACAGCAAATTCTATATTTTATATGGAAAACACTAAAGATGATAATAGAAATATGAGATCTCAGTTTGGTCCACTCTCTGCTGTTATCTTAGAACAAGCAAGTCCTTGGGTCGTGGTTCTGGTGACAAAATGTTCAAGGATATGGGTCTTGTCCCTGGAGTCTAGACATAAACCTGAGGACCTGTGTCTCCAGTGCCGTTTCTCATCCCTTCCTTGATGAGTGGAACTTTGTTGGCCTGGCTTCCCGTGGTCCCCTCACTCTTCCCCTGATGACATACTGGTCATTTCTTCTACAGTCTGCCCCCCTTTTAGCCTAGGTGCTCAAGGTGGGAGCTGCGATCTCGAGCTGAGTCAGTCAGTGAATGGCAGTCCCTTAGTTATAGGGACGGGGACACACAGATATCTGGGACAATAAGACACAATGAAAATTCTATGAAAGCTCTTTGATCCTTGCTGCTCCTGTAGCTGTGGGATTAGGAAGTGGGAATTGACATCTTGGGATCAGTCTGTGACAATGTATTTAACACAAAATAAGCAGCGGCCAGAAATGAGAGGAACCAGGTCTTTGGAAGCTACAAAACCCTTCACTGGTGCACGGGTGGGAAAATGCCCTGATACCTTGGTGTCTGGTACAGACTAGCTGCTGCTTCAGGATGTTGGACCACAGCTCTTCCAGTGTGTCTTCGATAATTAATTCTTTGGGTCCCACCACGCTGGGCTTAGAGGACTATATTCAGTGATTTTCTGTTGCTGTGAGAAGATACCCTGACAAAGGCATCGTAGGGAAGGAAGGGCCATTTGGCTCACAGTTTGAGGCACCTACACTCGGGAAGCAGAGACCTGAGACACCTGTTTGGCTCCTTTCCTCTCCTTCCCCTTCCCTGCAACCCAGGACCCCAGCACAGAAGCAGTGCTGTTCACTTGTAGGTGAGGATTCCCACTTCAAAACCTAACCAAGAGAATCCCTCACAGGCAAGCCCGGAAGCTCTTCTCTTCAGTGACTCTGGAGCCTGTCAAGATGGCGTTAACCATCACGAGAACACATGGCAGCCTTCACTGTCAATGGGAACAGATTAAGAAGCATCTATGGCATTAGTGATGAACACTTTTAGGTATCCAGAGGGGATTACCTAGGGCAGGGTAGAGACCCCAGGCTATGGGACAGGGGTCCCTACAAAGTAAAGGGAGAGAGGAAGACATCAAACTGAGTCCTGGCTTCCCTCTCTCTGCTGCCTCATTTCAGCCGCACCACACAACCCAGCTGTGAGGTCTTCACAAGTTAAAAAGCCACCACCACTTCCAATCCCATCAGGAGTCTGTGAGATACAACAACAGAAGAGCTGGGATTCAATGACAAGGGTAGACGTCCTCTCCACGCTATAGACACTAACTGCCCCAGCAGGTTGGTGGCAAACAGTGAACGATGTCAGATGCCAGAGTCATTTACAAAGATTCGGCTCCTGTGGCTTTGATACATTTATCACAAAATGCCTGGCAGAAGTCCAGCTTAGAGCAGCTGTGATCACAACTGTAGACATACTGAAGGTTCTGGGTTAGGAGCATCAACCATCTCAGAGTGTGTGTGTGTGTGTGCATGTGTGTGCATGTGTGTGCGCTTCAGAGTACACTGTGTGTGTGTTTGTGCATGTGTGTATGTGTGTGTGTACATGTGTATGTGCATTGTTTGTGCAAGTGTATGTATGTGTTCGTGCATGTGTGTGCATGTGCACACAGGTACAAAAGGCATAAACTCTCTACAAAGTAGACTTTTTGGAAATAGACCTTCTTAGGGACTGTGAGTTAATGAAACATCCCTCTTAAATCCCACTTGGTTTTCCTCTCTACAGGCCCTGGGCATGTTAGACAAGCCCACAAGACCCATCTCTGAGGGTTTACAGGCTACTAACCAGGCTGATGGACAGACCTGCGATCCCAGACACCTGAGCATGAGAAGCCGGAAAGTCCAAGGGCAACCTGTGACTCTGTCTCAAAATTTAAAAAAAAAAAAAAAAAAAGGTGGCTGGGACTACAGCTTCAGTGACAGACCACCAACCTAGCATGCACAAGGTCCTGGGTTCAATCCTCAGGACTGCTAAATAGACACACACATGCATACAGAGAGCAGGTAAGGGGGAGGAGGGGCGGGAGGGGAGAAGGGAGGCTTCTAGCCCAGGCTGACGGCAGGTGTGGGTAACAGAGAAACCAGATCTCAGTTCTAGCCTCGACCCCAGGGACATCCTCAGACCCCTTCCTTCTGCCAGCCTCCAGCTCTCGGGGAACTCCTCAAACACAGAAAGCATCTCTGATAATAAGTTGAGGGACTGGGAAGCCGTAAGTCAGTGAGGGCAGTCAGGGCCTGGACAGCCTGGCCCCTACTGTGCAGGGTTATGGTGACATTACGTTTCTGAGCACAAGACAGGAATGTAGCAGAAAGTGGAAGCCTCCCAGCTGTTAGAACAGACGCTCAGCTGGTGCTGTGGAGGGTTGACAGGCAGACCCAGCTCCGGCAGCCTTCCCTGCTTGTAGCTCTCATGAACTTCAAGTCCTCACCACTACCACTACTGACGCCTGGGAACTGCAGCCATGTGGCAAAGGTCACGTGTTCACTAAGCCAGCTTCTTTCAGGGGTTCAGGACACCACCTCCCTTGGTAATCTTTAAGAGTGTATACCTGGAGGGTTGGGGAGATGGGTCAGTGGATAACAGACTTACTCCAAAAGTGTGAGGACCTGAATCCAGAGTCCTAGAACCCACATAAAGCCAGACATGGTCACACACATCTGTAATCACAGCATCCGTACAGCAGGATGGGAGTCAGAGAGTCAGGCCAGCTTGCCTGGTCCACGCAGCAGCGTCAACAAGATGGAAGATGAGGACCCAAATCGGAGGCCGTGCTCTGACCCCACATGCATACCATGGCACATGTGCACCCACAGTATATAAAAAATGCACATACAGAGACACATACAAACAGAGGCATCACTTTTTAAAAGAGCAGATGTTCCCTTTGTCTGGGTGGCCTGAAGCCTTGAAGTGCCTTCCTTCAGCCCCTGTGACACTGGTGGAGGTTGACTTCCACGTAGCTCTTAGCTGAAGGATGATGAACCAGGAGCTCTTCGCTCCACCCCCATCCTCTCCCTTCCCAAGCCTAACAGTGAACACTGTCTTCCACAGCTTCAGCACACAGCAAAGGCCACAGGGTCTGACTGTACTCAGAGCATTGGGGACAGCGCTGAGTGTCAGCCAAGTCCAGAGAGAAGAATTGCAGCCGGGCAAACAGCAGGACCCAGGCAGGCACAGACTTCGGAGAAAAGCTTTAGTATGCTGCTCACTTGGTTTTTAAATAAGATTTGCTTTGCTCTCACAGTCCTCAAGGCTCACACCATGCCTCAAAACCCACTCTGTTCCCCAGACTGTGAGCTCTGTGTTGGGGTGAATGTGGCAGCCAAAGTATCACTGTTCTTTCCAAGTTCAACCTTAGTGACGTGACTTCAAACTAGCCCTTCCCCAGCCCCATGCTCAGACCGCCTCCAGTGAGAGCGATCTTCCCAGAAAAATACATTCCTTCTAGTTGAGATTTATGCTAATGGACCTCGAGTCTCTCTGATTCAGTTCAGATCTTTTAAAATGCCTTGATTAAATTTGGATTTTCCAAAAATGTCAGTGACTTTGAATCAGGAAGTGCAAATTCATCGCAAGTTTGCCAAGTGTGGGACGCTTCTCTCCATCACTCCTTCACTTTCTTTCGTGACTAAGACCCATGTTTTAGACAAATTGGTACATTTTTAGCCTGATGGCAGAGGAAAAACACTTGCCAGAATTACTCCCCCCACCCACCCCCCGGCTCCCTTGCCTCACAAGCTCGGGGTACCTTGAAGGTAATGGCATGTTTAGGTCTCTGCAGTCCCTTGACCAATGTCTGCACAGCCCAGGCTGTGAGTTCCAAGTTAACTCTGTAGCTGCTCC